CTCATAGTATCAGAATGCTGGAAGGATTTTATTCTTATATCTCTCTTGTCTGTCTGTTGCTTTTTTCTTTTTCTTTATTCACAGATCCAAAGACAATTGTTTTTATGAGAGTGAAATAAAGGATGGAGATTTGGGAGGGGTAAAAATATAGAATTGTTCTTTTTTTTACCTAAAGCAATTAGCATGAGGATAAACAGCTTTCTTCTTAATACAGCAATTCCGTAAATAGTAGTAGAATTCTTGGTGTCCCAGCAGTAAGAAATCTGCAGGGCAGTACCAATGATATATACTGCTGGCTGGGAGAAACTGTTGTTTACAAGCTAATTATTGTATAACAAGTCAGCTGGAGTTAGCTATCTGAGAGGTTAAAACAGCAGATTCAGAAAGATAAAGTGTATCAACATGTACATTGAAAAAAAGCTCTGTGATTACAAACAATAGTTGGAGAAAATTGAAAAATAACAAGTTAGAAAAAAACAGTTTATTAAGTAATATCATATAAATAACTTGTTACAAAAATTGATTTGCAAAAGGCATATTTACTCTTTGTGAGAAATCACTTTTAAATTGCATTCTTTTCAAATTTATAAGTCTAAGAAAACAAAACAAAATAAAAGAAGCCATTTCAAGGAATGCGTATTTGTCATGTGACTACAACAAATGGTCCTGCCACACTGAGCTAAAACATTAATTGTCTCAACCCCATTCTTCTAATACAGAAAACTTTCTCATGTAAACTCTGAAGTTATGAAAATTTCCCTAACTAGAAATGTTGATGGAAGCTGAGCAGTGACTGTTTCCATCAGGTGTTCTTGTTGCCAAAGAAATGAACGATACTGAGAAAAACATGAAGGGAGCAATCCAACCAGTAAATCTTCAAGGGTGGCATCAGTTTCAATTTATACTTGGAAGTATTTTTAATTAAAAACAATCAATACCAAAAAGCTTTTATTTTCTGGGTTTAAAATCACAAATCACAGTAGGAGAATGCCAAATTGCCTTAGCTTGGTACTACTGAAGACGCACATAGCATTTAATATAAGGCCTATTCTTATGCAGTTTACCTCAAAGCAATGAAAATAATCACAAACAAAACAGTACAGTGGGTTTGAAGCGTTCCTATGTTTCTTCCGAGCAGATCAGTTTTACATTTGCTACGCAGCATTCCTCCTGAATGCTTAGTAATTCTATACATTTGATTCTTTAATAGACGCTAAACTAATAGATCATAGAAAACTAAAAGCTTATAGAAGGTGCCTCCAGACATATTTACATAAATAGTGTAGTCTCACAAGAAAGACCAAGATCTCATTATGGTGGAAAGCTTTCTCCACAATGCTGGATCCATGCCTCATTTGTCAAATTAACTCCATTTGAGGAGAAATTTGAGTTTGTGGTCCATGGGTTTTTTTTTTTTTTTTTAAATGGAATTAAGCAACTTGTAAAAGCTCTTTTGAAATTAATCTAATAACCCAGTGGCTCTTCGGCTAAGTGCCTCAGTCCTGTCTGAGACATAGTGGGTAATAGCATTTGTTTCCATCTGACCTCCTTTCAACACTTTCATCTGCTGGCTCTGTTGGGCTAACATTCCCCCCAAATTAAAAAATAAAAATGCATCATAAATAAGGTATTACAAAATGCGGAGTAGATTAAAGATTGTCTCCGCGATGCGTAAATGAAATTGACGATGCAGAGACCATAAACTTCTGGCTTTAAAAATGAGCTATTTCTTTATTAACTTTTAACAAGTGTGTGAGTCAGTGTATTTCCTTTCTGAGAGGGTATTGCTCTGCACATTAAATATGGTTGGGGTCTGATATTTTTAGTAGAGAATTATCTCTTCAGAAAATTATTCCATAAAGATGCCAAGGGGAGATTAAAAATGCTGTGACTGTAATAGTCACTGAACTTTTAAGGAGACCATACTGTAATTCTTCATTCTCTGGAAAAGAAAGCTGCTTGTCAGAGCTTAGCAAATAGTTCATGTTCCTGAAGGTTCACATGCAAGTGTTAATCTTTTTACTCTTATAATCTGATAAAGAAGTCTTGGTTGTGGTGTTAATTTAAGCACAGCAGACTTTTTGGATTTTGAATCCTCTGCCACAGTGTCACAATTCAAAAACGATTTCATCTAGATAAAACATAACAATTAAAATTACACTAAAATGGCCCTTTCAGAGGATACCTTTCAAAATGGTGGGGATCATGACTTTTTAGAGTGCTCTTCCAAAATAATTACATCACTTTGAATTTAGTGACTAGGATGAAAGCATTTATTTAGTGGTTCTGTTCCTGGGGAAAGTGAAGTTAGCTGATAAGAATAAGAACCTGATTTAAATATTCAGTTTGCTCCCAGGAATCAACTCTGATCTTTCTTTTCAACTGCATACTTTTTATGGTGCTCAAGTACACAGAATCTAGGAATGCCCAATTCATAGTTTATTTACCATTATCCCCAATGAAATATCCATTTCAAGGCAAAGCATTTGATGTAAGATATTGTTCAGCAAATCAGGACATCTAAAATTTATGTACTTAAAAATGAAAGTAGTGAAAACATTCTAAAGTTAATTTGGATCCATAAAATTGGATGTTTCCAAGATACAAATTTAATTTTTAAGAACTTTCTGCACAACTTTTGGGGAGCTGAAAATGAAAACTAAACCAAACATTTTTATACTGAGTTAAAATTGAACTGCCAGCTTTTGTTCCATCTGAAAATGGAGTAATTTTGTAGCTGAACCTCCCTTTATGCACCCAAAGTATAAAGCCAGGAAAGTTCTGAAAGAAACTTATATTTACTGTGCTCAGAATTCCTCTCTTGTGGTTCTATGAAACCATCTATGCTTCTCTCCTATTTAATTTATTTACCTATTTGGGCACAAACGTTCTTCAGGCCTTTCAGCAGAAGGTGGCCATAAAGTGAAGGGTCTTTAAACTTATGCACAACAGCTGAATGTTTTTGAAGTTCAGCTTATTCTAGGGAACATCTTAGTAGTTTATAGAAACTCTTCATTCTGAAGGGAGGGCAGAAAAAGAATGGTTAGAAAGGCCTCAACGTCCTTGGAGCAACCCACAAAAGCCATCTGCTTAGGTTTAATGAATTTTAGTTTTTCAGTGACTAAGCAAATGTTTAAATTTTAGTTCTTCTCACTCTCCTGTTTCTCATCATTATCATTTAAAATCAGGACACAGACAATGTAAAAATTGAGCTGAAAACTGTGGGTTTTTTTTTTCTCTAGTAACCTTTCATGTTGACCTGGGACCTAGGACCTAAAAAAGAGTCTATGCATGGCAGGGTGTTTGACCTGATGTCGTGGTGGGAAGGGAGCAAGACAGAGCAGGAGCGTGATGGAACTATGTGTAGGCTCTTATTATTTTCATGATGTCAAAGAGTCTTAATTAGAGGAAAATGTCACTTCAACTTGATACTTACAGGACCCTGGTACTAAATATTCAGCTCCAGTCTCAAATTATCCAATTTCCTATAGATTCACTTCTTCATCAGCTTTTGTGGCCAGAGATTAAACAATTATTTTAATATTTAGTCATACTAACTGGCTCTTGGTACACTGTATCATCTTCAGAGTGGGATAAAAATATCATTCCAATTACATCTCAAGTATTCCACTTTAGGACTACTTACTTTCACTTAGGTGCAAGTAAACCTTACCCTTACACATTGGAAACTGCTGGGGTCAACCCTCAGAAATTCCAGTTAATGCCAAAAGTTCAAAAGGATGACTTTTGATGATACCTTTCTTTTTACAGGACTATCTTTCTTGATTCAATTTGTTACATGACATGAACATAGGATAGAGAGCTCTTTAATTTTACAGTAAATCATGTGATTAAGGTGTTGTTCTATTGCTATAACTAGTTCTTATTAATTTACTAAGCTATCTTTTTCAACATTAACCTGTGACTATGATACCTATTGATTCGTTACAGTGAAGCCCTCTCATAGCATTTTGTTTGCATTCCTCTGTGTGTGTGTGTATAAGGAACTAGAAAAAACAAAACAAAACAAAAACAAAAACCCCTGAAAGCAGGAAATAGCCCAAGCATGAAATACTTGTTAGTATACAAGGCAGCACATTACAAAATAGGAAACCACTGAGAAAACAGAAGGAATAATATGGTCGCAAAATTTTTTCACTCTAATTGGGTAACCCAAAATACTCCATTTCTCTTGTTTTGAAGGTGCCAACTTTACTTCTTGGGTAATATGCCTATTTAAAAATTAACTAAGCAACCGTATGTTTTCAAACAAAATATGTGATCATATGACATTATCCCCAAAAGGAAAGGACACTAAGATTATCCGTAGAAAATTAACATTAATTAAAAATAAATCCCTAAGACTAATAAGTGAAGTCAGCATATTCTTAAGTGTATACTATATATATATACAGAGTCTGTTTTTCAGGTTTTCAAAACAAGAATGTTTTCATTACAGTACTTTGGAAATTTCTGATGACTGCATAATATAAGATTCTAACGACAAAAGTCATTAAAACAGCCATACGAAATAAATGATTTGAACCTGCCAGAAGGATTAGTTCAGTTCAACTGGGGACTCTGGATAATAACTGACTATGATGCTAATTGCATAATTAGGGAAATAATAGATTGGATGAATTTTACATTACTCTTCTGTAGTAGTTTGAGACCATTACTTTATCATTAGTTCAAAGACAAGGCTGGCAGGGCTGCCCTGGAAGAAAAGTTAAAAACAACAAAAAAATATGAATCCTTTTGAAAATCAACAATCATTTCCACTATAATCTTAAACACTCTTATTGAAGGGAATCCAAGTTGCTCCTTTGTAAGCATCTTTCAAACAAGGAATATGTAGGTTTTCACTATGACCTCAATGTTGTTCATCTACATCTATTGTTACATAAATACATGGATGTTTCTGGTTGTGAAGGGCAGGGTATTAGGCTCAGTGTGGCTGGCTTTCACCTCTCCACTGGACTCCGAGAATGGGATTTAAGTTTTATTTAATCTAACTTTATTAGCTCAACCGAATTGTATCAGAAGTATCTGAAGAATATGGATTATTGTACTTCACACTGCTACTTTCAAGTATAGTAGAATAATACTGATGGCAACTACAGACAAGGAGTTAAAATTTGTCTCAGAATTCTTTCACGAACTTTTCAACAATTAGACTTTTTGTCATTAGCCTAATGATGGTTGACAGAATTTCAAGTGATTTGTGATATATTTGGTGACCCGAACTTTAAAATGTGTTAAATATTTCTTCTGATAACATTATTAGCTATTTTCCCTTTTCCTTTATATGGTACGAAAGCAAACTTTTGCATGTCTAATATATAACAAATTATGAATTAGTGGTGAAGAATGAAGTCTTCAGGTTTTTTTTTTTGTTGTTGTTTTTGAATGTTGCCCTTTAACTTGCTTCTCTTCCTTAAGAGGAACAAGAATCTGAAAACGTTGGTGGATTTGATGTTTTGAATGTGGCAGAAAAAGTTCTTGAAAACAAACAGGATGGAAAAATGTCATTTTAAATTCTTTGTGATACAAACACACACCCTATATAGTTTATCTCCTTGTGAGCAGATACAGCCTGTTTCTCTTCCTACAATTATATTTCTGTCATTAAAGCACAATCCCGTATGCCATTAGCATGTGAAATGGGCAGTTAGAGCAGCCAGCTGACCTGAGTCAATGGAGGGTAGGAAGGTACCAGGACAGTAGAAATGAACATGTCCCCAACCTGCCCTAAGAGAAAAGTGAAAATCCTGCTCTCTGTCCTCTCCCCCAGCCCGTGCCTATTGGCTGACTTGGTTAACTGGATGCACTAAAAAATAAAAATTTGCCTCTTAGAAGCTCATAAAAGTGTACTAGAAAAAAGTCTCTAACATTTGATCCGCATGGGTGGCAGCCATTGGCTTTTGGAACGGGTGGGACAGAGAACCCTTCACGGAGCAGTGGATAAATATAAAGAAACAGCCACTTCACACACTTCAGTGTCGTATCGGAAAGTGAAAAAGGCAACAGATTAGGAGTCTTTGTCACTGTCCACCCCTCCGTACATGTCTGCGAGCTTTTTGAACCGAGGTCCCCAGTCACTAAGGTAGTCATAGTCTTGGTCTCCATCCGTGGTCACCGACTCCAGCGAGCTCAGGGAATCGGCCACCGAGCCAGTGCCTTCGTAGGCGTAGGTGGCCAAGGAGTCGTAAGGCGGGGCCGTGGGGTCTGTGTCATTTTCCTTCAACCTTTGGTTAATGAAATCTCTGACATCGGTGTTGTCGCGAGCTGCTGGAGTCCGTCGGGGTAGAAAAAGGGCTTCGGGCACAATGTCCCTGCGTAGTTTGCTGTCTTCCATGGCTTCGGGATTCCTCAGGGTGCCGATATCAAAGGCCTGGGTGTCCTCCTCTCCGCCACCCTCATCGTTGTAGCTGACAATGTTATCTCTGATGTCCTCTTTGGAAATGATCAAAGGCTCTTTTTTTCGCTGCCGCCTCAGAGCTGCAAACAACACCACCGTCACTGGAAGCAGAAAACAAAACAGAAGAGGAAGGGAAAGTTAATTTGCCACCCAATTAATGTCAGGAAGAAACACTGTTCGCGAACGTGAAGTTTTAAAAGTTCTCGAGAAAATGCAGACTCAACTTTTATTTCTTTAAGGATGCACTTGCCTCCATCCATGAGCAAACCTGGCCCCCCACCCCCCCGCAAAGATGGATCAACGATTTGAAAGCAGGTTACAATTTAAGTAGAGGATAAAATACCATCATTTTTTGTCAGTAGTTCCCTTTTGCTTTGAAATGGGAAACTAGTTTTAAGGTAAAGAAAAAATAAAATTACAAAAAAAACCCCTCAGCCACCGTGAAAGTGCTGCAGTAAGAGTGCGAATTATGCTGAAACACCTAAAATGCTCTGAAGCTGGTTTTAAGGACAAGGCTGGCACCTTCGGGATGTGTTGAAGGGTTTGCATAACTCCACATCTAAAATAACTTTTGCACAATGTCTTCTTTTTTCTTTTCTGAGAAAAGTGTAAAATTAGTTTAAACCCCAAAGTAGAGATGCGAAGGTTTGCATACCTTTCCTACCTATAAGGAAATATTATTACAGATAATACCTGGAGAGACCCAGAGATAATTCATAAAGCCATTTTGGACCTCAAGATCGGCCAATTTGTAGGGGACAGGTAATAATACACATGCCACACTATTTCTGTTTGAGCTGAACAAAATAAACACATTTAAGTGAGAACTATTTTTCTTTTTCAACGGTTCATGTTCTATAAGTTTTGTTAGCCAGAATGTTCATTCTTTTGATTCTGCCTTCTAACTCAAATGAGAGGCAAAGTAGGAATTGTGTTTCAGTAGCTCCCGATCTTTCTTCACTGCTGGCTGGATAGAACACAGCTGACACCTGTAGACAGACACATCTATCTACTAATGGACATATGGGTGGGAACATAAACACACGGCAAAAGCATAGAGAGAAAACAGCCATCCAGGGCAGAAGAAGCATTGTTAAACTGGGTTTGTCCAGGGGAGTTTATTATAGGAAGTACCAGTAATGTCTCTTTCCCATCTCTTCCATCACATGGCCCAATTTTTATGAGCCATGAAAGTTGATTATTACAATAAGAATTGCAGAATAATGTTTTTTTAGTGGGTACATATATTTACATGTATAATAATAGGTATATGTACATCCATGTGTCGATGTATTAAAATTTTAGACATTAATAGTATTAATAATAATAATTAGTTACCACTTGACAGCTTTCTATGTGCCAAGCACTGTGCTAAATGTTTAACATACTGAATCTCATTTAATTATCCTAATAGCCCTAGAAAGTAGATGCCATCATTAAAAGCCCATTTTACATAAGAGGAAATTGAGGTTTAGAGATGGGACATGTAGGTGACATTCAAAGCCAGGTTGGTCAGACTAAAAAGCCTGCATTCTTAATTGCTGTGCTTTGAAGCATCTAATAGCCCTAGAAAGTAGATGCCATCATTAAAAGCCCATTTTACATAAGAGGAAATTGAGGTTTAGAGATGGGACATGTAGGTGAAATTCAAAGCCAGGTTGGTCAGACTAAAAAGCCTGCATTCTTAATTGCTGTGCTTTGAAGCATCTTTGGACTCTCTTTCCTAAGGAAATGCAAAGTTGCCATTTCCAAGGGTGTGGTTGTGTAATGGTACACATTCCCTCTTGCTGCTTGAGAGTATCCTGATGCCTCATGTGTCACATCCTCTCATGGTATTCATTCATTCGTTCATTCAATAAATATTTATGGAATGGCTACTCTGTACCAGGTATGGTACTAGGCACTATCAATGAAAAAGGTTGGTAAAGAGCCCTGCCCTTGGGGTAAATGGGTGGGTGGGTGGGGTGTGAGTTGGATGGAGACAGAAAATAAACAATGTGTATGATAAGCAAGGAAATGATTATAGGGTGATCAGTGCAATAGAAACGAAAAAGAGCAGAACAGAATAGGATGGGGAATGCTTCTGTATATGTTCAAGGACCTCATATGAACATACAGCACATATGTTTTGTGTATGTTTTGGGGGAGTGGTTGCATCATCTGAACAAAGACATGAGGAGTTATCCAAGGAGCTATCTGGCAAACCATTCTGGGGAAAGGCGAGAAGTAAGGAACGGCCATGTCCTGTGGGGCCTGGGAGGCTTCTGTATGCCTTTTACCTTTCACCTTTATTTTGGGGTGTGTGGGGGGGAGAACTGCAGGGCTTTGGGAAGAAGAATGCCCATGATCTGCTATTTATGCTGGTTTCTGGTGTGACCAAAGACACGGTTTTGCAAAACAGGGGGCTGCAAGTGATGATGGCCTTTGGGATTACAGAATAGAATCAAGCCAACTGTCTCTCAAAAAATTAAACTCTAATGCACATGGGTTCGTTCAGTCATTTAATGCAAGATAGCAGGCATTTATCACTTCTTAATTCTTCTCCAGCATAAGGTACCTATATCTTTTATATTAGACCTATACACATCTGAAAGTACAGCTATCTAGAAGCAAGAGTGCACTTTCAGTCATATAAAGGCATTTATTCTTGGCTTACTTCTTCTACAGTTAAAACTGCCTATATCATTTCTTACTAGCCAAATACATGTCTGAACAGAATCAAAGCTAACTTTTATAAACTGAAAATGTGATTTCTAATCACATGGGACAAAAACAGTCTAAGAAAGTAACACACTGATGAGGTTCCCTTACCAGGAATTGAGCCTACCTTTCCCCCTCACCCTTTTGGGGCCAGAGGACAGCAGTGAGATTTTTTGAGAGGGTGAGGGGCACTTGGGCAAATTTGTGCTCAAATCCTATCATCAAACAAGAAGGTAGCTAGCCAATTGAGATCAGCAGATCTAGGTGTCAGGTTGGATCACAGAACCCTCTACCCTGGTTTGTGTAGGTTGTGAGTCAAGTAATTGAAAGAAAAATTGGGTAGCTGCTGGAAAAGTTGACAATCTTTATTTCAGATGCAAGCTCCACTGCCAGTGGTCCGAAGCCGTTGTCTTATATATTAAAGTACACAATAGTGGCAACAAACCAGGGGGTACATAGGCACACATGTGCACTAACATTACTCTTATGTAACTTGTTCACAACAGATGTGCTGAATCATACACAGCCGGGTATGAGGCAAGGGGGCCTGACTAGACTAACTTCATTTTTTTTACAATAGGTTAACTTAAATGATTTGACCTTTCTAAGCCTGCTTTCTTATTTGTAAAAGAGAAGCAATGACATGGTGCCCAGTGTTGTTGTCAATAATGAGCTAATAAATGTGAAAGTTTTGCAAATTCTAAACCCAAATAGAGACATGAGATATAGTAGTTGCTTTCACTGTTGTTCCATTTTGTAAAATACCAGAGGCCATATGAGCCATGTTATTGACTCCAGATCTCCTCCTATGTCGGTGTGGCTTTTCTTCTCTTACAAACTTTCAGGTTTATGTTCACTTTCTTTAATTATCCCATTTTAAGTTGGGGCTCTCTTTCAGCCTGAAAATGGCCTTGCATTCCATAAGCTCACAGGGAAAGTTGAGGGCATTGTGGAAGCACCAAGCCTCATGGGGGAGGACCTGGGTTTGGAACTTAGTGCTACTGCTATGTGATGTGTGATTTGGCTACATGACCTCCCGTCTTGGAACCTCATTTTTCACATTTAAGTTGTGGCAAATATACACCATAGTGTTCTGAGGATTAAGTGAGAAAAACATTTGTAAAGCACCTTGCATAGCATCCAGCCTATGGTGTGGACCTCGTAAGGGCTAAGTCCCATTTTTCTCCTTTTTCATTAGGTACAGAATTCTGGGAGGCACTGAGGCCCATTAGGAATAATGAAGAGACAGAAAATTCTTTAGAGGAAGGAAACAAAAAGGGAAAATAAAGTGAGTTGATTAGAAAGAAGAAAAGGGGGAAAAGAAAATGGGTAGATGATGTGAGAAAGGAAGAATCACCTCCAGCAGATGAGAAGTTGGCTCTCCTTCCACAGACCACAGAAAGGGTCCACAGAATACTACATGGGTACAGCCCTGCCAATCCAGGGCTCCTAAAAATAACCCTTGGGATCAAAAAGAACATTCATATCATTACCCTCCAAAACAATTTTTACAGACTCACACCATTAGAAACACTGATTTGTCTTTGCACACGGTGACTTTTTATTTATCCTCATATCTTAAAATACTTCCCCAAGTCTTAGCTGGCAAAGAGAATCACAGTTTGCAGTTGAGTTGCAAGGCTTCTGTTATAATTAGCAAAGTGGATTCAGAATGTAAAGGCTTTGAGCAGGGATCCCTAGGCATTCTCTTCTTGGAGAAATGTAGTCTTTTACTCTTCTCAAAGTCACCGTCTTCATTTCTTTAAAAATAGTTTTCTCCCCTGTGTAGTCTATGTTCACTCTAACATCTTTATTGTTTCACTGTATAGGCAAGCTTTGTGAATCTTGCTTTTGTTTCAAAAAGGCTGCGTTAACTAACATTTGATTTCTTGGTTCACAGTCAAGAGCCTGTTGAGGCATTTGAGCTCAAAGTGTAGACTTAATTAGTTGGTTGAGGGTAAAAATTTCATTTGAATCATTGTTAGACTTTGATTTTCACCTTTATTACATTAGTTTCTTTTGGACCTAGATTTATTTCCTTAATCACAGAAATTGTTTGTTATTGAGAGTCGGTGAAATAACAGACATTGTGTATGCAGCAATCAGAGGACAATACTGAGAAGGTAGTCATTAAAATGGGTACATCCAAATAAGTTTGCTAGGTTAAGAAATTTTTATAGTTTTTATTTTTCCTGCATGAGAGGAGAAGTCGTCACCCTCCTTTTTCCACTTTCCCATTGATGTTTAAATTCTACCTTTGTAGAAAGGGGCTTCATCGTATACTTCATGCCAGGAGACTTTCATTCTTTAAAATTTAACCATCTTTGCCAAGTTAAATATTAAACAACAAATGAAATGAAAAGAGCATCTTTATATTGCCCCGAAATCCCCTCAAAACGCATTTCCAGTCATAAACAAGAGAACTTTTGGAGGCATCATTCCCTGGGCAAGCAAAGACAAGGGCAAGTTCCACATCTGTTCATTCTCCAAAGCCATTTTTAAGCAAAAACGAGTTCATTGTCGAACAACACAGATTCTCATCATATAACTCTACTCACCTAGATCAGGCTGTATGCCTTAATGGGGGAGGCGGATAAATCTAGAGTGTCACAGTAACAGTGTGTGCCCCTCACCATGGGGAGATAGGATGCAGGGAGAACCAGTTTACCTAGTAGGATCATGATGCACAGAAGGATGGCAACCAGGGCCCCCGTGCTCAGGCCCGTGGGGTGGATGAGGGCCTCCGCATGGCAGGACTGCATGTTCCCGTGGTGGTCACATGCACAGACACGGACAGTCACTGTCCCAGTGCTGCTTTGGACTGGGTAGTCGTTGTCTGAAATGACCACAGGCAGGAGATAGGTGCTCATCTCGTGTCTATTATAGCCATTTTTCCGAGTTAAGATGCCCGCCGTGTTGTCTGGAACCAGAAAGCAAAGTGGCGAATGTATGTGAAAACTGCATCATGTAATGGATCAGTCACAATGAGAATAGATCGTAGATACAGATATAGATATGTATGCAAACGCAGGCACAGATATAGATGTAGAGAAGGTAACCCGAGCTCATTTACCTTTGTTGTCTTGAATGCTGAAGTTTGAGCCACTGGCTGCTTCAGGGGCCAAAGAGAATGAGAATCGGTGCCCACTGTAAGGGTCGTCCTTGTCAACAGCGTGTAGGGTCTGAATCAACTAAGATAGAAACCATAAAACTGTCATAAGGTTTTGAACCTCGAAAGAGTTTCTTACAGTTTTATAGTAAATTGTTTGACTAAATGCTTTTTAATTTTAATTAAAGAATGTAGCCTTTAAAAAACTCACAGTGATTCCGCTCTATGCAAAGAACCGATAGGTTAGAAAACCACAGAGCAAGTGATCATCTTTGTTGTCAGGGGCTGTGCTGTGCATTGGAGAATGTTTAGCAGAAACCCTGGGCTCTACCCACTAGATTCCAGTAGCACCCTCCTAGTTGTGATAATCAAAACTGTCTCCAGACATTACCAAATACCCCTGGGGAGCATAAACCCCAAGTGAGAAACACTGCCCTAGAGTGATACAGGGCTATAAATTGTCACAATGATCTATGATAACATTTCAACTTAACAAGACGGAAGCACTCTGTGGACATTCTGTTTAGACATGCAATCGTCACTTACACACAAGCTATCAACTTGCAAAAAAACTAAAGGAAAATGAGTATATAAACCCAGTAAATTCAGCTTCCCACTTGCACATGTACTTTAACAGTGCATTTCTATTTTGACAAAGTATAACATAATTTTTATATCATTGGCAGCAAAGACCTATTTCACGTGGGGACAAATGTGTAAAACAGTAAAACATTCATGAATTTGTATTACTTGTACAGATGGGCAATGTAAATAAGCGAAACCATGAATTATAGGCAATTGTAAATGTGTTCTAGTTATTACTTTCAAGTACATATGGTAATTTAACTATCTGCTCATCAATAAAGATTTTTCTGATAAAGCTGTGACTAATCTATTTTAATGAAAACTTAAGACTGATTTGGAATTAGCATGAGTCTTTGATGAACTTCCAGTTCTTAGAAACTGTTTGTTCTCTTATGCAAGTTAGACGTTTGTCCTGGTTCTTATTAGTAGTGTTAATTTCATTAGCACTCACTTCATAGATAATTTACAAGTAGCCCTCAGCTCTGTGTATCATCTGAATTATTAGAAGATCTAGATTAATCTGCTTTTCAATTTGAGTGTATTTTCTTATGAAACTCACCTGATCTGCCTTTGCTTTTTCACAGACAAAGGTTTCATAGAACTCAGCAAATTCTGGGGCGTTGTCATTAACATCTAGAACTTTAATATATAGAGGTACTCGGCTACTTTGCTTTGGATTATCTGCCACATACCAAAAAGAAAGAAACAGGCATTTATGTTGATGGTTAATCCCTTTTAGACAATATTCACTCACTCTTTCACTCTCATTCACAAACAGATTCCGCAAGGCTGCTGTGGGTACTGCAGGGCATTAAACACCAAATATGGTCACAAAAAAGTAGAATTAGATTGTTTGCTACTTCTAGAGTTGGATGTACCTGATAAAAATGCCTAGGGGACAAAACTACTTGTGTTGATATAGTACAACTGGATAATAAACCCTAAGGTAACACAAAATAAAGAAAGACATTTTAGAGGTAGATTTTCAGGGAAGCCAAGGAAGCAGGCAGATTGAAAAAATACGGCCAAGAGGAAAAAAAGGGGAAATGAATGAATCACTATGAGACCAAAGAATTTTTATGGATCTCAGTTTTTTTTTTTTTTTTTTTTTTTTTTTGGGGTGGTACTGAACTGGTTTTATACAAGCTCTTGGTTTCTGTTACATCAAAGATAGTTAAGAAGTCTGGACAATAAGATTCTTAAGATCCCTTGCATCTAAAATTTTATTTACATCATTCTTCCAAAGTTAGAGCTGCTGAGTATAAACTTTTAAAAGGTCTTAATCACGAATACTCTAGAATGTGTCCTAGAAAAGTTAAATGTGAAAAATAGAATTTTTAGGTACAAAGCTTAAAATACTTATAAAATGACTACTTGAGTAAAAAATAAAATTTCATGATGTTATAAAAAAAGATCCTTTTCAATGAATAATAATTTTGTAATTTTACAGCTTTAAGGGTGCTCTGTCATTGGTATCCACATCAGTCTCTTGGCATAAATTCTGAAGAGCAAATTCCTACCTAACAAATTTCTAATAAGGTGTTCTTATCACTATCAAAAAGTAATGCTTCATTTTGCCCATATTGGTTATTTATTATTCCACCCATAATCCTTTAGCCACTTCAAATCTCATGAGTCATGTTGACAAAGAATATGACTGTAATAAACCATTTGATACAGAATATTTCACACTAGATACCCAGCTAAGATAAAAATGTTTGGGACTTTTAAAATTAAAAATAAAGCCTAATAAATAAACTGTAATTGAGAAGCCTATTTTACACATTAAAATATTATTTTAAATATCATTTTTCTTTTACGTACTTCATTCTACACATTGTGATTACAATACACACTGATTTTCATTGTGTATAATTATTTTATCTGAAGCATTCTTTTGGCACTATTTTCCTTTGCTTTACATTTCGTGGGGACTACCATAAAATAAATTCTAAACATTTTAGTGATTACTTGGTGGTTTGTATTGCTCACTTTGGTATACCATGGAAAAGTGGTAATTTGTATCCTTAATTCTGTAAAGATTTTAAAATAGAAATTCTATAGAAAGCTAGAGAATGAATATCCAAAAGATTTCTAAACAATGCCCACATTTTAGAGTGTACTTGGCCTCTCTTATTTCCCATCACCCCCTACCAATGTCTAACAGAGAGTTCATTTTTTTTTCTGTTATTTCTGTAATGTTTTAATTTGTAAGCTTTTGGGAATCAAATCCAGCAAGCACCAATTCAGTGAGATGCTACCAATGTCTAACAGAGAGTTCATTTTTTTTTCTGTTATTTCTATAATGTTTTAATTTGTAAGCTTTTGGGAATCAAATCCAGCAAGCACCAATTCAGTGAGATGCATTCATTCCCATTCTATTGTCTCCAAACTGCAGAACTTCCATGGTTGCCTCATTCAGTTATGAATGAACCAGCACATGTCCAGAAGAAACATGACTGTAAGTCATTCCAGGGCTTTCCCCTCAACATGTATCAAGTGGGATCATCAATACATGGTGACGATTTTCAGCTGCGTTCCATGAGCCCTTGCCGGGACACTCACTCCAGCACTCAGGAACCTCAGCGGCATTAGGTTGGACTTACTAATTTCTGTCGCTATCACTGTAATGTTGTGCCATAGCAGTGTTTCTCGGTCAAGAAGTTTCGATGTAAAAATCGAACCATTTCCAGAATCAATGTTGAATATTCTGTCCATATCTGTGTGTCGATCGACAGAATACCTGAAAATGCAGAGTAGCACTTAGAAAGGCTTTGTTTGTATTTGCTATTCTCATATCATAAAACTATCCCCAGAATATCTGTTACATGATCTTTTTTCCAACTTGTAGTGCATATTTGAATATCTATAACTTAACGTTAAGCAAAATATTTTGAGAAATTAGTTCTTTACAATTGAGGTCTTAGTAATTTCACTGGACAAGTTGCATGATTTTGAGGATTTAATATGTATTTGGATCAAGTTTATATGGTAATTGTTACATTTTTAACTCAAGTTTTTAGAACCTCAGAATTTTAGTGTGTTTGTGTATGTTTGTATGCATATGTAGGCTATTGGTTATTTTTCTATTATCCATTTTATTTTTAAAATCATTCTGCTGAAAGAAGCAAAAGATGGCTAGTGAGGCCAAGGTTAATTAGGCAGGAGAAGGAGACAGGAGATGAGACTGGGGAGAGATCAGAGTCCAGACTGTAGAAAGATGGGCTGGCCATTGTAAGGAGTTGGGATTTATTCTAATGCAAAATCTTGTAAATCTTTCAATGTAAATCTTGTAAATCTTCCAAAGCGTTCTAAGTAGGGGAGTGTCACAATCTAAATCATATTTAACAAAGATCACTGGTTGAATTGAGAGTGGTTGGATGGTACTGTCATAAATTTATAAAAGAGGAATGAAAAAGAGGATTTGGGAAAAGTCGTAAGTTCTGTTTTTGTTATGTTGAGGGTGAGGTGCCTGAAGAAAGCCCAGAAAGAGTTTTCTAGTCCGAAGCGCAAGATAAAGATCTGGACTGACAACTTAGATCTCTCATTCAACTGTCTAGGAAGAAAATGTCCAGTGAAGGGAGAAAAATATTAAGGACAGAATCATTTAAAGGACCAGTGGGAGAACAGAGACCCACAAGGACTAGAACAGTGCCTAGAACAGAGTAGCTACTTGATAAATATTTAAGAGGGAGAGTTTGTATAAACTCAAAGAAAACCGAGAGTGGTATTTTACAAACCGAAGAAGAGCAGAGGCTTTAACTCTGAAACTCATGGAAGACTAGTAGATTTTGAAAAATGTTATCTTACTTATAAGTATATTATTACTTTTTAGAATAGCTACATAAGGGGACAAAGTATATGTGTATGTTTATGAGTTGGGGAAGGGGACATTAGACAGAAAACTCTGAAGCAAGTTGATATGTTAAGGCCCTTAGGAAAAGAATTGCCTATTTCAGCTGGATTCTTAAAACTTATATTATTATCGAAGGTTTAAAAATGTCAGCTCAGTAGAAATGCAATTTAAGTAAATGACTTAACTAGTCAGACACATGGAATTGTTATGAATGCTCTAAGAAAAATAAACCCTTCTTACAGTAATTTGCAGTAGTGTATCAGGTCCAAGATTCTATTTGAATTATGAATTATTTTGGTTTAAAATTTAAATAGTGAACTGTAATAAGCAATATATTTAATCTTAGTAAAATTTATTCTTGTCATCTAGCAAGTATTTAAGTGAAATAGACATTCTATTATTGTAGGCTATTTAACCTGATGTTAAAGAGAATTAATGAAGTACACAATGGGTATATATATCATTAGGTTGGAATTGTGGTTTCAGTGTATATAAACTAATGTTTTTATTATCAAGCGAGTTGAAACAGCTGAAATAGTATTATTTTTGCCATTTATACCACGAATCAACATTTATCAAGAATTTAGGCAACAGCAATGAACTTGCTCAATAGCCTTTCATTTTTAATTTGAGAATGATAAATATTTATAGCACATAATTAATTACCAAAAAGGAAATCTCGATATTCATAGACTTTATAAGAAATTTAACAATTATCTACGGACTTTTTTCTCATGATAAGTGTCATGCTTAAGACATGCTACTTATTGCCTTTATAAGCAGTTACATTTATATACAACAGTAATCTTTTTTTGTTCTTTGTCTGTTTTCCTCCTGATATAGTTTTAAATTTTATAAGCAATCACATTTTCTCGTCTAGCCTTGCAATAAAGGATAAGGGGTGAGAATATTTTAGTTAAAGGCAACTTTTGATTTTAAAGAGAAAATAACTATCTAGGAAATATCCACATTGTATATATATTTTTCTTTTATTGGGAGATTTAAAAATTCACGGAAAGCCTAAAATGCCTACACTGTTTAGGAAAGATGCTTGCACTCAAAGCCTTACTTGTTTGTTGTTTTTCTTTCCAAAGTGATTTTAATTCATGTCAAAGATATTTACCATTCAGTCACATTAATTGTAATTATCACTTATAAGGGACAAAGTAATCAATCCCATCATGACCATTGCAGATCATTCTGCGAAGTGGCTCTGTTTAAATTTTTTTCCCTAAGATTTCATCATATTCTGTGATTAAATGATTTGTCTTCTAACATATCCCCAGGAAGATTTATGGGTTGGTAAAGGAGGTTTTTTGTTTGCATGTAAAATTTTCATAATATGTATTTATAGTGACATATTATAAGATTCTTTCATGGAAACCAAAGGGCATTTGTGATAAAATTATTGGAAGAAAATTATTTTGTGTGATTAAAGAATTAAAGATTTGTGCCTGCATAATGATAAATCAATGTTTGGGGGAAGAATTCTGTAGTGTTAATTGTGCACCTAACATAGTGTCTAGCACCTAGTTGTTCAATATTTATGTCTCAAACAACCAAAAACTATGTATGAATGTACTTTTTTAATATAAAAATAAATTTTATCCTATAAAAGGAATCAGTGGGATAAGCATTTATATACCAATATATCTCTGTATTTTTAGAATTAAATCTATATCTATAAATCAGATTCATATGTACCAAGGGAAAGCTGGAAGCAAAAAACTTCAAAATTAGCTGACAGCCAACCCAGTCTGACAAGCTAATTTCATAAAACATAAAATAGTGCAGTGGGTAAAAATGGTATTTGGTGTAAACAGTAATATAGGCAGAAATATAGCCTAAATTCCCAGAAGACATTATCTCAACAATTAAAAATACATTAATCTATCAAAGAAGTAACTGAAGCTCATATTTGTAAACTTCTAGCATTAACACTTTTAAATTGGGCTTGACACTGACTTGCTGAGATTTTCTCCTTACACAGTTAAAACAAACACCAAGTGAGAGAACAGTCGTGAAAGTATTTGAATTATTTGTGCTATACAAGTGAAAGGCATCATTTGTTTTCCTTGTTCATAATATTAAATGTATATGGTGAAACACTTAATCCACGGAGCTCCCATGTGGCTGCTTTGGGTTGACCATAGAGCAAGCCAGGGAGTCTTACAGATATTCCAGTAGAATGATAAAAACAAGAGTCTATTTGCCCAATAACTTCGAATTGTTCCCTGAAAGTAAGCCAGGCATTTCTGTGTTTTACATGTGAGGCTCGTCATAAGGTTTCATTGGAACAAAGGGCTCAGTGGCTAAAACGTTAGAAAATGACTGCCTTGGGGCTGACCCCATGAATCACTCAGGAAGTGCGGCACTGGGAGCACCGAGGCCGCGGGTTCGGATCCTATATAGGAATGGCTGGTGCACGAGAAAATGACTGCCTTGGGGCCGACCCCATGAATCACTCAGGAGAGTGCGGCACTGGGAGCACCGAGGCCGCGGGTTCGGATCCTATATAGGAATGGCTGGTGCACTCACTGGCTGAGCGGGGGGCAGGCGACACCAAGCCAAGGGGTGCGATCCCCTTACCGGTCACAAAAAAAAAAAAAAGAAAGAAAATGACTGCCTTAGAGCCTGAGATTCTTTTTTCTGAAACAATATTCTCCATGCAGCTGCCAGTGTTATCCTTTTAAAAGGTAGTTTTAGATTACATTTCCATACAAATAAAATCCAGTCTTCACCATGGATGACAAAGCCCTGCGGGACATGACGTGCTCACCACCACGTTCCAAGCCTTTCTGTGGCCCGTACCTGACCTCTCCCCTCGCTTCCTCTCCTAGCTGGGTAGACCTGCTTGCTACTGCTTCAACTTGCCAACCTAGCTCTGGGGTCAGAACCTGCCCTTGCGTTTTCCTCCTCTTGGAATGGTCTTCCCCCAGCCATCAGCGTGGTTCACCCCTTCACTTCATTCACATCTACTCAGATGATTCCCTGCCCATAAGGAGGCCTGCCCACGCTACCTCAAATGGTACCCCAGATACTCTTTGTTTCCATACGCTGCTTTACTTTACTGCTCAGAGTTTAATTTCACCTAACATATTACACATCCATCTTTTGTTTATTCCTGCCTGCCCAAATTAGAATGTCACCTCCTTGAGATCAGGACTTAGGACAGTTCTCTGCTGTATTCCCTGGTGCCTAGAATGTGCTTGGAAGGTGGTAGGTGCCCTGATATATATTTATGGACTCACAGGCAAGAATCCCTCTAGCTTTTCAGTCTGCTTACTTTACTTATGAGGAATAATTTACACAAGGACATTCTGGTTTGGCACTTTTCTCATTTAGTGTACTATGCTACTGGCTGAAGGCTGGAGCTTGGTTGACTCTAGCATTTTTATGATAAGATTCTAGAACGGGGAAGCATCAGAGGTCCTAAAGAGCGAAGAGGCTTTCTTGCAATATGATTTACAACTAAGGTGTAAGAAAAGTATGGGGAAAACAGAGCTTTCTTACATAGTGTAAATTTGGATTCTGCTGTATTAATTTACCCAGGATTTCACAGACATCTATCATGAAATGTTTCTTGTTTTTATGTACTTTTGCAAAAGGAAAAATTATGCATCCAAATGGAGCATAATTCTGCCTCTAAGTGGTACATGGTAGGTTCTTCCACATTTGAAAAATGGGCTTTCAAGCCCAGTACCTGGCTTGTCTGTTTTTCCACAACATTTTTTGATGAATCTTAAACGTTAGAAAAATCTTAAATCTTAAAAAACAATTCCAGGCTATTCAACTGCATCACCTTATATTACTTCTATGTAAGCAGTAAACACCTTATAGCTCATTTTATGTTTTATTCCTTTCAAATGTTGTGTACTGTATTATCTTAAATCTTAAAAAACAATTCCAGGCTATTCAACTGCATCACCTTATATTACTTCTATGTTAGCAGTAAACACCTTATAGCTCATTTTATGTTTTATTCCTTTCAAATGTTGTGTACTGTATTTTAGGTTTATGCTGCTTCTAAAATAATATTTATGCAGTGAGAAAGGAGAGTTAAAGGTGCTGTTTAGAGTAGTTTTTCAGGAAAACACAACTATCTAATTGGAAAAAAAGGGGTTCATCTTTTCTAACATGCAGGGGGATATTTGAATATAAATCGAGAGAAGCTTATGAAAGAGATGTGGCGCAGAAGCGTGCTTACTTGACAGGATTCCTGGCAGCATCTGGATCTTGTGCTGTGACGGAGCCTATTGTCGTGTTTATCTGAGCATCTTCTCTTATTTGCAGGATGTAGGCCAGTTTGCTGAAGACAGGAGGCTCATCTACATCCTCTACCACGATTCTAACCGTGGCTGAATCTTTGAATGGACCCAGGTAGAGAAATCGGGGCTCAACGTGAGGATTAGAGGCTTCCACTTTGAGGGTGTACACTTTCTTCTTTTCAAAGTCCAAGAGCTTGGGGGTTAAGGGGAGAAGTGACAGATTTAAAGCAGCCAAGACACAAACCATTTTTAGTACAAATCACTGATAAATGAATGTGATCATAGTGCGTAGAGAAATCGTTACACACTAGTGTGATATTGGAAAAAGGCAGAAAGATAAGGTGTCATTTTTTTTCCATACATAGACCATTTAGAGGGAAACTATTATAGTCTGTGGAGGAGTTCAGGTACCACACACCCTGATGAAACTATGCTCGCTGTTGACCTAAAGTGGGTGCTGAGGCTCAAGGCATCATATTGGGAGGGAAGAGAACCTAGAAGCAGCCCACCCCTGCCCATGACCCCACCCATAAAAAACCCCTTATATTTGACTAGAGGGGGCTGCAAGGGGCAAGTTGGCAAATATGCAATAGATTATTCTATGTCAGATGCCCTCACATCTGGCTTTAATCGAACCTGGTGAGTGTTTAAAACTTGCCAATGTCTGGGCTGAACCTGGGACCATTCAACCAAAATATCTGGGGTGGGCATAGTAATCAATACCTTTAAACACCTCCGCTAGTGATTCTAAGGTGCAGCCAGAATTAAGAACAACACGTTTGCATGGTGATTCCCTCTTCTTCATTCAGATAAAATAGATTCTATTTTTTTATTTGCATGAGATAATACAGTATTCCAAATAGTATCCTGATAAGGGCATTGAGCTAATTATTTGCCAGAGAAAGTAATGATCATTGTTGTCAAAGGTCTTTAGGAAAAGTTATCTCTGCTTTTGGAGACATAATGAACCCAAAAGCTTATTGCTGACTTTTAGTTTTAGATGACAATATGACAAGGCTCAAGCTAATTATTTGCCAGAGAAAGTAATGATCATTGTTGTCAAAGGTCTTTTGGAAAAGTTATCTCTGCTTTTGGAGGCATAATGAACCCAAAAGCTTATTGCTGACTTTTAGTTTTAGATGACAATATGACAAGGCTCACTAGAAACACAATTAATCAAGACGTTAGTGAATGTGATTTAGTTGGCTAGGCAAAATTTCAGTTTTGAATCTGATAAGACACCAAGAAAATTAAAAAGGTTAATGCACACTAATGGGCTTCCTAATTACATTATAGTATAAAACATTGGTCTAAGTGTCACTTAGACATGTTTTATTGTGTTTCCAGATATTAAGACATGTACTCCAAAGCTTAAGAGGAAATTTTTTCTTGTTATTTACATCTATCAATCCTTGTATTTACCAGCAAACGTAATGGTGTGCTAAAGGAGAGAGAAAATATTACTCCGTACACGATAAAAGTGAAATCAGAAAAAATTTAACTGAAATTAATATTATTTTTAGCCTCAAAGCACACAATTTGGTTTTTAATTTTGCCACACTTTCATATACTGCTCCATGGCGCCAGACAATTTGGAGGATAAAATAATGAGTTGGTACATTGGGGAAAATAGGAATTCAAAATATAAAAACAATATTATTGTTGTGTTCCAAATAGTAGCTAAAGAGGTTGCAGGAAATTTGTGTTAACTTGAATTTGTGTTCTTTAGCGATCCCCTCTCTAGTTTTTGGGTCATTTTGATCACTGCTTCTAGTGCTCTCTTCCTTCAAAGCAAGCATCACAATTTGTTCTTATACATTTGTTTGTTTACTGTGTCCTTGTCTCTTCCTGCCAGGTTGGAAGTTCCATGAGAGCAGAGACCATCTGTTGCAGGTGGCCTTGCGCCTCCAGCACCTACAACAGGGTCTGCACTGTTCACCTACCATTCGTTTATATTATTTATTTTACACATTCTTATGTATATCATTTGTTTACATTACTTATTTACTTAGGACCTTCTTAATAAAAGTTTATTAAATGTACATAATTGATGAATTGTAAGATTATTTTAGACGCCTAAAAGCCAACCCAAGAGATCTTAGTGTAATTAGAATAGGCGTCTTTTAAAAATAATTAGTAAAATCAGAATCTAAAGGAATGTTTATGTGAGATGTAACTGCCCCCGGTAACTTGGGAACCAGAGAAAAGTAAATGTGTTCATTTGCACGGTATTTAAGAAGCAGCATTACCTTTTTGACAGTTATGATCCCTTCCTGGGTTTCCTGGTCAGTGATGACATCAAACATGTCCAGCCCCTCACCATCTGTGATGCTGTACTCTATTTCAGCATTTTCTCCCACATCAGCGTCACTGGCTTTGATCCTGCCAACTGGTGTACCCGGTGGAGAAGATTCAGGGGTTTTAAACTGGTATGTACCTATTAATCACCAGACAGATATAAGTCACACACAAACTAAGGCTACTCTATCATTATAAAAATAAACCCATTTTCTAACAGTTCTTTAAAACATTACCATGGATACAGGCAGATTTGTGCTTTCCTTAAAAAATTATTAATGGTGCCCTATTCTCCTTATGTCTTTACTTTCATGATTGAGAATAATATTTCTTCTATTTCATGACCTGCCTCCTTGCAAATGGAGAACACTTTTCTTGTTCTGTAAACAGCCTTTAGGGTTTATGGCGTGATTGTGGGAATGTCTGAACTGCTAGAGGAGGAAGCAGAAGGTTTCAAAGCCCCCTGTTAATGTAATCTAAAAGAAAGAATAGAGAAGAATTTAACCTGAACTATGACTTTAAGCCAATTTAGATATTCTTTAAAAGAGGTCTTTTTGCCATTGCTAGTAATAGCTGAAGGTGGAAATAAATTGCAGCGATTTAGAGAATGTAACCAAGTAGGCATTCGTTCACTCATACATGGAGCTGTATCTAGTTGCTGTTAGGGATATCATTAAATGCATTGAGTGATAAACTCTTTTTTTTCTTTTGACTACATCTTTCTTTTAAATTTTATTGCAGTATTTATTTCTATGCATAGATGTCTTCCATACCTGTATTTGGATTACTATTTCAAAACCTATAGTTCCTACATAGACACCTTTCTTATGAAATCATGTTGCAAAATTAGTTTAAGACCACATGGTGATTTTCAGTTTAGATCTGTCAGGCAGCATGTATTTAGCAACAACAACAAAAATAAATAAGTGAAAATAAAACTTATTCTACTCTCATCCATTACATTTTGCCAACCATTTATACAAATGATTTTGGAAAAAACTTAGACTATGTCACCACTAAAATACAGGCATTGAATAATGTTAATTCCCGAAGTATTGGGCTCATCTTTGGTAGAGTGGTAAAACAGGGTATCGCTCTAGTCGATTCAACTTCCGTTTTTAGGGCCCTTGACCTTTCTATATTCTTCCCTCCCTTGCCTTGGCACATTGTCCAGCAACAAGTCCCAGGGTGTCTAAGGAAGGAGTAGAGTGAGTTATGAATCCGCATGGCACCAAGGTGCTGGTGAATCCTGATGTTACCCTTCCCCTGGGCATCTCCACATTGAAAAGGAGGTGTTTGAACAAAGTGTTGATGATCCTGATATTTTCATTTTAGGCCTCTGTAGGGAAAATTTTAGGGCTTGCTTTGGATTGAATGTCCCCCCAAAACTTAATCTCCACTGTAACTGTTGAGGGTGGGAAATCCTATTATGGCAATTGAAAAGTGGGGCCTTGAAGAGGCGATCATATTGTAGGACCCTGCCATAGTGAATGGATTAATAATGTGGTCAGGGACATGGTTCTGAGGGCTTTAAAAGGAGAGTGAATGAGAAGGTTAGTCTCTCTGCTCTGCCATTTTCTGCCATGTGAGACCCCAGGGTCACTGTCGTCACCACCAAGACCCTCACCATATGTGTTCCCTGGACTTTGAGCTTCAAAGGAGAGTGAATGAGAAGGTTAGTCTCTCTGCTCTGCCATTTTCTGCCATGTGAGACTCCAGGGTCACTGTCGTCACCACCAAGACCCTCACCATATGTGTTCCCTGGACTTTGAGCTTCCTAGTCTCTAAACCTGTAAGCAATAAATTTCATTTTCTTACAAATTACCCAGTTCCAGGTATTTTGTTATACGCAATGGAAATGGACTAATACAGAAAATTGGTACCAGAGAAGTGGAGTGTTGCTTATGACAAATACTTGAAAATGTAGAAGCAGCTTTGGAACTTGGTGTTGAGCAGAAGCTAGAGGAATTTGGAAGAATGAGCTAGGAAAAGCCTAGATGCTGGTGGAAGTATAGAAGACAAGAAAACCAGGGAAACTTTGAAATATTTTATAGACCAGTTAAATGGTGGTGACCAGAATGCTTATGGAAATACGGACTGTAAAGACCATTCTAAGGAGGTCTCATATAGAAATAAGGAGTTTATTGGGCAGTGGGGCAAAGATTGCCCTTGCTATTAACAGGCAAAGAATTTGGCTGCTCCAGCTGTGGCTAAATTGGCCCCAGGTGTGGCTGGACCTGCAGCTTTGGAAAATATAAGCCGGAAGCCTTAGCAGCATCCATGTGGTATTAGGTCTGCAGGCTCATAGAATGCCAGAGCTGTGGAGGCTTGGGTGCCTCCACCCCAATTTCAAAGGATGTATGGAAAAAGCCTGGGGACCAAAGAAGAGATCTGTCATGGGATGGAGTCACCACACAGAGCCTTCACTAGAGTGATGCCAAGAGGAAATGTGGGGACAGAGTTGCTGCAGAAAAACCCTACCAGTGCCATGCCTACTGGAGCCATGGGAGTGGGACTGCCATGGAGACCCCAGTACTACAGAGTTACCAGCGTGCAATGCCAGCCTGCCAGAGCTGAAGAATGGCCTCAGACCAGGAAAGCAATAGGAGCTGAGCTGCCCAAGGACCTGGGAAACCAACCCCCACAACAGCATGCAGAAAACTTGAACATGGAGTCAAGGTACATGATTCACCAGCTGTAAGATTTGATACCTGCCCTGCTGGGTTTCGGACTTAAGACCTGTTACCCCTTTCTTTTGGCCTATTTCTTCTTTGTTAAATGAAAATATGTACTTTATGTTTGTCCCACCATTGTATCCTGGAAATAGATAATTTGTTTTGAATTCACAGATGGGACTTTGAATGTTGGACTTTTAAGTAGAAACAAATTAAGACTTTGGGGATGAAATGAATATATTTGTATGAGAAAACGACATGAGTTTTGGGAGACCAGGAGTGGAATGCCGTTGAATTTCTTCCCAAAACTTAATCCTCACTGTAACTGTTGAGGGTGGGAAATCCTATTATGGTAATTGAAAGGGGGGGCCTTGAAGAGGTGATCATATTGTAGGACCCTGCCATAGTGAATGGATTAATAATGGTGGCCAGGGACGTGGTTCTGAGGGCTTTACAAGGAGAGTGACTGAGGAAGTTAGTCTCTCTGTTCTGCCATTTTCTGCCATGTGAGACCCTTAGGTCACTGTCGCCACCACCAAGACCCTCAACAGATGTGTTCCTTGGACTTTGGACTTCCCAGCCTCTGAAACTGTAAGCAATAAATTTCATTTTCTTGCAAATTACCCAGTTCCAGGTATTTTGTTATAAGCAACAGAAATGAACTAATACAGGGCTCATAAAACCTGTTTTTCTTCCCATTATATCAGAAATCAGTTAGTTAGCTATTCTGTTTTTGTGTTAGCTAACTCCGATTAAATACTTGAAAAAATAAAGAAAATATAACTATTTTCTGTTGATTGATGTATATCTCCATTCCAAAGGAAGCCCATCTTAGCTGCTCATGTTTGAAAAATGCCATGAGAGAGTGAGTGGGTTTCCTATCTAATGATTGAGATAAGATCATGGTCAGAAAGGGATTTTGTTCCTGGAATAAAATTTATATTAAAACCAGCTCTCACTTGGGTGGCTCTGTGTGAAAGAGTCTAGCATACCACTTGATATGAAGTCGGTATTCGTGGACATAATTTTTCCTTTTTCTTCCTTCCTATATAATCATGAGAGTTAATGATTTTAGAGATGAATTTTGGTATCTCAATGAACCATAATGTAAAAAACTATTTATGGTTACAAATGGATTAAGTACATAGTTACTTTCACAGTCATATTTTTAGAAACAGTACAATGATAAATCCTCCCCTTACAAAGCTTTGTGAGGATTTAAAAGAGATTACACGCCTGATTAAACTCACAAAACAGAAAGTCAAATTTTTCCTAACAAATAGCGGCATGCTTGTATACATATGTTCTGCACAAGCAAATTTATGTCTGTGGTATTCCTTTTAATAAGGAAAAACAAAACGATGATGTTGCTTTTACAACAGCAGCCATATCAGAAATTGCTCAGCTAATTACAAATAGAACATAAATGTCCACATTTCCTGAGTGTAAGTTGTGTTGTCAACACATTTTTAATAAAAGTGCCAGTTCTTACTAAGTCCACTAATTTTCATAAGAATGACAATGAAAAATAAATATTCTTAGAGTTTTACAAAAGTGCATTGAAGAAACTTATTCAATCAAATGTTCCTACTCTGGGAGAATCGGGGAGGATTGTCATTGACATCAGTCAGCGTGATGTTCACTGTGGTGGTCCCAGATAATCCTCCCATCTGGCCGCCCATGTCCTTTGCTTGAATCACCACTTGGTACTGCTCCCTGTTTTCTCGATCCATGTTGAGCAAAGCTGTCTTGATGATACCTATGGATGTAAAATTGAGGAGCAGAAAGGGATGCATTAAGAACGCTTTATAGAATCATTTATTTATGCAAACAAACATAGACTGTCACTCACAATATGCAAAACACTATGCAGATGTCATGGTGATATAAAGATGATTATATACAGCCTTTATCCTGAAGGATATTACAACTACACCAAGGAAATAGATACATTAAAAAAGCCTGTAATTCAAGGAGAATGAAAATAAGCCCAAGTCAAATCCTGCAATAGGATTGACTGAAAGTAGTATAAATGTTAAGTGTTATAGGATGACACAGCAAAATATCACTTGGTATGTGGCAATAAAGGTATACCACAGTAGCTGCTTGATAAAAGACATTTAGGTGTATTATGAGAAAATTGGTAAGAAAGCCAACTACTTGAATTGACTTGAGTTTCACATACTGAATTGGCTAATTGCTCCTCAAACTTACCTACCATAATGAATGTTCTGAGGATTTTCTAAATCACAAAACTATGGTCTTAAGTTGGGGCCGGCCCGGTGGCGCGCTGCGCTAGTGCGCCGCTTGGGAAGCGCAGCTGCGCTCCCGCCGAGGGTTCGGATCCCACATATAGACCGGTTCCCGCTCACTGGCTGAGCGAGGCGCGGGGGCAACGCCCAGGGTTGCGATCCCGTTGCCGGTCCCGGTCCGGTACGGGGGGGACACTGAGGGTTGCGATCCGTTGCCGGACACAGAAAAAGACAAAAAAAAAAAAAAAACAAATAAAAACTATGGTCTTAAGAAAACCCAGCATCAATTCTCTCATAATTATCTTCTCGTATGATCGTAAAGAATTTGGGTTCTTCTAAACCTGATGTGCACATTAGTTCAGCTGGTCCCAACAGTAACCAACATTTTTAAGTTAGGTTAAATTTATCTCTATTGTTAGGTAGTTATAACATAATTAGTTAAAAGAACTTCTAAAGGTTCACCTAATCTTTATGTAGAGTTTATGCTTAAATTGGCTTTCTTTCAAAAATCACTGGAGAAGCCTTTGTAACCTTCTCTGGTAGCACATTCCAGTGCTTAACAAGTAATGAAGCTGAAAATATCCTTTTTTATTTTTAACAAGAATACCTCAGACAACAGGTCAATTTTATTCCTGTAGTCCTGGCTTCAGTGGAAAGTGTGGCTCTTTCCGTTCTCCAAATAATAGTATTTCTCTATTTAAACACGGGAGATCACCTTAGCCTTTTGTCCTTTAAGTGGAATAATTCTAATTTTTCATCCTCATTGTTTTTCAACTCAACATGTCCTTTCTCCTTGGGATTCTTTCCAAGTTCATTGCACCTCTTATCATACAGATTTGCAACTGGATATAGTAACCTAGAAAGGTTTGGATTTCTACTACTAATAATGGATGTTAGAAAAATGTATAAGAGGAATTTGACTCCTATTATGATAGCAAAAATATGTGCAGAATTTGCTCTATAATACAAATAATATTTACTAAAAAACAAATCATCATATGGTAGTATGCTACTTTATGGAGAAATATAGAAAATGAGATGTTGAAAAAAGGATTTTCTAAGGCAACCCACTTTGTTAGGGTTTTATCGTTTGGATAGGCTAGACAATGATGTGATAACAAACAATGCAAAATCTCAGCGGATTAACTAGTTTATTTTTTGCTCATGATCCACGCAGGCAAGCAGGATGCTCTGTTCATGACACCCTTCAGACATCCAGGCTCAACACTGGTTTCCATGATCACCGTGGCAAGGGGAAGGGATGTGGTGGATTGTGCACCAGCCATGAAGGTTCTTTTTTTTTTTTTTCAAAGATGACTGGTAAGGGGATCTTAACCCTTGACTTGGTGTTGTCAGCACCATGTTCTCCCAAGTGAGCAAACGGGCCATCCCTATATAGTGATCCGAACCCATGGCCTTGGTGTTATCAGCAGCACATTCTCCCGAGTGAGCCACGGGCCGGCCCTACCAGCCATGAAGGTTCTGCTTGGAAATGACTTGCATCACTGACACAGTTTATTCACCTAAATAAATCTCATGGCTGTGTCTAGCTTTAGAGCAGAATAGAGAGATGCAATCCTACCAAATAACTAGAAGAAGGTTCGGAATATCTCTAAACAGCCCTAATAGCTATCAGAAGGGGGTGGTCTTTTAGCTTCACCCCAAACTGGAAGAAAAGTAAAGCAGTGTATAATTTTTCTGAATCTCTCCTGTATAACATGGTAAATAAAAGACTTATTGTCAGATTTCTTGATTAAAATGATCTGGATGTCATGTGTACAAATATATCATTAATGTTGGGCAGATGAATACAGGAAAATTCAGTCACACTGATTGTTTTTATTAAAAAATATGCTAGCTCCTCTGAGTATGTCAATTAAAATTAAAGGTTGTGAAAAAGAAAATCAAAAAGGAATTCTAACCTGTTTCTGATTCAACTGAAAAATAGGGCTGTCCCTGTAGGATACTATAGACAACTTTAGCACTGTTCCCATACGTTGGATCATCAGCATCAGTTGCAGTGACTTGGACAACAAATGTGCCTGAAATGACAGAAACATAAACTGAAAATAAATTAAGGGTCCATTATGATCCTTGATACACACACATAAAAAGAAAGCACAATCTTCATTTTGTACAAAACTTATCGGAAGGAAGTGGAGAACTTCAGTAGGATGCTAGGTTAAAAAGCCTTGGATTCCTCACTCTGAAGGATCAACATTTATAAGTAATGATACTTATATTAAGTATAATTATGACGATTAAGCAAAGCATGGGAATGATCATGACTTCGGGTGGAACTGATTCCAACCCATCTCCAACAGTGGAATTTGACTGGACTTTTGCTATAGTGATTCCTTCAAGTTCCCCAAGACCAAGTCAACCAGAATCTTGAGTCACTTTGTCCACAGTCATTAGTTTCAGAGTTGTCCAATCGGGGGACCCCTCATGATTTTGCTGGAAGTGCTATCATAGATGCTCTTTCTCGTGATTGTAGTGTGCTGATGGGAAGCCACAATTGTGGCAGCTATTTCATGATCTTAGAAAGGCCAGCCTGGGGACAAAGCTGAACAGAACAGGAAATTACAGAGAAATAGCTAGGACTCAGATTAAATCTCAGGTCCAAAGCCCACTGTACTTTTGGACTTAAGTAATGTGACCAATAAATACTTTAATTGTTTAGTTTGAGTTGGGTTTCCTGTTAATTGCCAATAAAAGCATCATAAATGATAAATCTATCTGACAATTCTAAGAGGTTGAAAAACCTTGAACCTTAAAAGAGGTAGTTTTGGATCAAATAAAGAATTAATTGGAACAGCAGAGCATAAACATCTGGAAGCTATAATTCTGAAAGATGATTATAATTAAATATACAAAGAAGACTTTTATATTTTAGATCAGCATTCTTATTTTAGGGACCATAGTCACCTAATAACGTTCAAAATATCCCTAACACCCCTGATATTCCCTGAACATTTTCTGTGTATGAAAACATGTCTATTTCACTGAAGAGAATGTTCATAGATTTTATCTGATTCTAAAGGGGTATGTGACTTCCAAAAAGAATAAGACCTTCTGATTGAGATCATTTTACGGCTGACTTTTGATTCTCATACAGATAAGCAGTAAGCATACTGCAAGAGTTCTCCTGCCTACGATAAGAGCAGGGAAGTTACATCTAGGGACTATTAGAATGTCTGCATTGCTTTTGTAATGTCTAAGCAATTTCACTTATTGAAGAAAGAGATTGTACTGTGTTAGGGTTGGATGCTCTGGATATATAGTATTGATACATGATACAGGGCAGCCACTCTTGCAGTTTGGCAAGGGAGGTGGGGTGAATGAGAGCATCATATGATCTCAGAGTGAGAGCTAATTAAGAAGTCCACAAACACCCAAGTTCTTATTTGACATTAATACAAAATTCGATTGCTTTTAGAGTATGATTGTCTGGATGTTTTAAGTGCCTATTATTTGCCAGATATTTACCCCAGGTACTAGGAGTCTACACCTTTTTTCTCATCTAATCCTCATGATAATCCTTAGGAGCTGACGTTTATTATTTATTTTTTATAGATATAGGACTGGAGGATCAGAAAAATCAAGTAATTTGCCCAAAGCTATGCTGCTGGTTATTAGTGGAGATGGTTTCAAATTCAGGTCTGTTTGATGTCAAAGTCCATTTTCACCCCTCTGCTTTTGTCCCACTAACTTAACGTAATTTCTTTAAGATGTCTTTATATATCACAATGATGACAAGTTAATTTATGATAATGAGGAATATTAGCATAATTGTGCCTGCGTGCAAATTGGCAAAAGCCTTTCTTTTCTCAAGACATGTTACTGCCAGCTACCTCCAAATATTTGTAATACATATTTAATTGTAAGATGGCTTCAAAAGTGAACAGCACCCCCTAGAGTTGTGCAGTGCATGATCTGCACAGCTGCTTACAGTTCCTGGGTGGTGCTGATGACACTACCCTCCGTTCTGCTTTTTACCACCTAGAGGAAAAATATCTTTTTCCCTTAACAAACCTCCTTCTTTAAAGAATTCCAATCCCCCTCTTTGCTTTGGTAATGGATTTTTCTAACAAAACAAAGTAGCTTCAAGTAATGAGATGAACAATTTCTTCATGAGAAAAATTAGGATGTTTTATAATCATTTCTGTGGATCGGTCATTTTCTAAGCCCTGGATCTGTGAACTACAGATCTCTGATACCCGACTGAGAGAATTATAGAAAAGTTGTTATGTAATTTCAGCCCTTCGGAATTTGACAGAGTGAAAATAAAAATAACTGTTTTATAATCATTTCTGTGGATCGGTCATTTTCTAAGCCCTGGATCTGTGAACTACAGATCTCTGATACCAGACTGAGAGAATCATAGAAAAGTTGTTATGTAATTTCAGCCCTTCGGAATTTGACAGAGTGAAAATAAAAATAACCCTCTACATGAGTCGTTTACAATTTGTCTCAGTCTCCTCTGAAGTATTTCAATGTGGCTAAGAGTGATGTCACTGGGTTTTTTCTCTTAATTTAAATGCTGTTTATTTTCTCCCTATTTAAACAAATTGAATCCACACATAAGCTTAAAATTGGTAGTGGAAATTGTGCATAAAATATTAATTCATCATATTAATGTCATGAAAGTCTCTTCATTTCCATCAATTAGTAAAGGATATGTCCCCTAGACATCATCTGCATATGGTTTATGGATTTTCTAAAAAGCTTTCTTTGAATCTCCTTCCCACATACACAGTTATTTAAGGGAACCATCACTCCTCTTCAGACTGGACTGTAAACTCACTGGGGAGGTCCTTCCCTAATACCAGTGTGAGCCAAGAGAAATGGAGAAGGCTGCCTTTCAGCCCAAGAGATACAGTGGGAGTTTCGGGGGGAGGGAAAGCCGATGAGAGGCCCTGCCATTTTTCATACCCTCATCACTAGAAGAAATGCTGCTTCCTGAAAAATAATAACAAAATAAGGCTAGAGTGATGCTAGGAAACGCAGGAAACGTGGGGCACTTACAAAAAGGACATACATGGATTGTTTGAAATATGATACTTTTAGAATTTAGCATCGAGATTCACTCAACCCAGTGAATTTCACTCATGAGATTCTTTCCTCAGTGGATGCACCAGAGGAGAACCAGGTTTTGGTTGAAATCACATCTCACTCACCGACATCAGACATTTCGGGGACAGTGGCTGTGTAAACCTCCTTAGTGAATATTGGTTCGTTGTCGTTGATGTCATGAATTTTGATGATGAATTCAGACTCGGGCTCCACAGGTCTACCTGTCTTTCTGTTTATAGCTTGAGCTCGAAGGATGTAAACGGGTTTTTCTTCCCTGTCCAGCCTCTTGGTGGCCTGTATGTCACCTGTGTTTTCATTGATAATGAAGAGATCTCCTGCTCCATCTCCTGAAAGGATATATTTAAGTGATCCATCTCCTCTATCCTGGTCTGAATGTAACTAGTGTAGAAAAAAAAAAAATTAAAGAAAGTAAAAGTCAAGCATGTGATCCCAAACCATCTTTGTCTTACATTAACTTTCATTCAATGCTGTCTAAGGCGTACATGTTTTTTTTTCTTTTTCTTTTTACTATTTACATAACTCCTCAATAGTAAATGCCATTCATTAATGAACATGTTACCTTATTACCATAGAATTTTCCAGAACTGGAACAGAGTTTGAGGGAAAATTTAGTCATTCTGCTTCTTATTTTGAAGAACAGAATAACACTAAGGCCAGAGCAATAGCAAGATGCCAAAGGACATATTAGCCTGATTGGAATGAAGCTATTTTGATTATTTTCACTACAGTTTTCAGATTCTACTAATACACTCTCTTTCTCACTTGTATACAGACAAACATGCCATGTAAACATCATACCATTGAAAAAGGACTTTGGTTTTTGAATCAGAGAGACCCGGGTACCTTCTGCTTCTTACACTTTATTAACTTGGTGAATTTAGGGAATCTAGGCCATCCTTTGAGTCTTTAGCAATAGAGATTATAATCTTTTTTCTGGGAAGATGTGATGTTTATTTATTTATGAGATTCAACTTGAAGTATTTGAGAAACATCATAAACGCTGTTATAATAACGCTGTGAACACCACCTGGCTGGATAATTTACAAGGTTACTTGAATAATACATTTAACATTTATATTTTAGTGTAAGATAGAAAGGGACTTTCTAATAATTAGAGCCAACCTAAGATCAAAATAGTCTCATGACATAGTGAGTTCCTGGCTCCTGGTGGTAACCAAGTAGAGGCTTTGATGAATAACTGTTGGTGAAATGGGTCTGGGTGAAGGGTTGAATTAAATAAATGTTAGGATACCATGATGCAGAAGATGGTGAGTCTAACTTGGGAAAGAAGTCCCTGTTTCTTATCCCAAAGATCATTTCCCCAGGGTTGATTTCCTGTTGTTTCCTTAGTTCTCTTTTCCCCACCCCAGCAAAAGTTTAGATGGTATCTCATAGGTCTTCAGATAATCTAACCCTATTCACAAATCTCCAAAAAGTGCTTTTTATTGAGAAGGATCGTTTATAAGCCCAAGTCATAAGGCTCAGTGAAATACAGACAAGTTAGTTGTCGTGGGAAGGCTGCTAATATCTATCTTGTTCCAGATCTGTCTACACAGAGGATGGACTGTGCTGTAACAACAGTGGCTCCAACAGGTAAAAGAATTCTGCATCCATTTTATTAACACTGCATGAAATGCTCTGAGTAGCATCTACATACAAACACATCTGAAAGTAGAATCTCAAGGCACAAAGGGACTTTTAAAATAACCCAACTTAGCCTTTCTATAAGTGTATCCCAGGGAATATCATTTACACAAAATACTGAGGGAAAGAGTTGTGTGACTCAATATGTTTGGGAAATACTTCATATTCTGCCTTGTTCTTGGAGTCAACATATTAAAGGCTGTGAGTGCATGCAGTTCAAAATTGTACTTGATTTTGTTTAATCTAGCTTTCCTGAACATTCTTGTTTAAAGAATTCTTGTTGGGTGTGACCCATACTGATACTCCTCCCCATAACTAAGAAAGACACTTTGAAGTCTAATTTAATTCCTCTTTGTAGAGTCAAGAAAAATGAAGCTCTATTTTATGTAGTGTACACAAGCCAAAACTACATGGCTTGTGTACAAAAGTCAGATTAGAATTTGAGGGCAAGAAAAGGGGTGTAGAATATTTGGTGCAACGTCCTTGTGTTTAGAGACATATATACTGAGTCCAATGTGACACAGTTAACTCTAGTTAATGGCAGAATTTGGGGCAGAGAATATTATTCATACAGTTAGTAGCCTTGAAAGCATATGGCAGAAATAACAGAAGATGAATGTGAACAGGGAGGAAATTGCTTAGAAGTGAGACAAATGCAGTAAGAAACGTAAAACAAGAGCACTCCATTATTTGTGTAATGTGATATGCCAAGGAAACGGTGAAACCAGGGTGACACAGAAAAAGCCACTGGGGAAAGTTTAATTCTCCATTGACAAATTCTAATGACTGAAGGGAGCTCTTAAAAAGCTATTTCATTAACTTGTGAGTAACAAGCCAATGTCATCGCTGGGATCCTTGGGATCCTTGCGACCCTTGGGATCCTTGCTGCAGGGCAGCTGTGGTCAATAGCCTGGAACAGTGCAGGCGGAGCCACACCCGAGCCCTAAGTACAGTCGTGTGCCTTCTCTTTCACTCAAGTGTAAGACCACCGACCCTTGGGATCCTTGCTGCAGGGCAGCTGTGGTCAATAGCCTGGAACAGTGCAGGCAGAGCCACACCCGAGCCCTAAGTACAGTCGTGTGCCTTCTCTTTCACTCAAGTGTAAGACCACAGCATTCAATGAACCCTCCCGAGCCAGGATCCTTATCAGTCAAATGAGGCTAATAAGAGCTGCATGACAAGGCTGTTGTGAAAACCTAATGAGAGACCATACATAAATACGACATGAATTGTTATGTAAACACGCAATAAAAGCACGATATGTGTTTTATAAGTTACAAAGTGCCTTCTAAATTTAAGATATTGCTACCATTATTAGCTCTTAGTTCATAATCAGCACATTTTTGCTCTTATTTTGACTTTGAGAACTTTGTTTTGAGGACTTTGAAAACCCAATTTTACAAACGCACGGTATCTGTAAGGTAAAGATCTGTTACCAAAAGCCAGTATTCTTTGACCAGGTGGCAATTGCTGTCTTTACATGTGATTTATTATATTCTGCATTCCACTAGATTATAGACTCTCCTTGGACGGTTCTTTCATCACTTTCAATATGTAATTGTTGCACACTTAGTAGGTGAATACCACAGCTGGTCACAAGATTTATTCAGGTAGAAGTAATCAGAAACTTATTTTTAGCTGTCAGGAGAGACCATTTCGATGACTTATAGAACAAACACCTGGGACCATATAAAAGGGCAGAGGAGATGCCAGAAAAGAGTGTGAATAGGGATTGCATTGCAGATCCAATTCTGATTTATCAATATTTGAAAACTAGTGGGAAAATGCACCTCTTCACTCAGGCATTGTCTGATAATAAAGCAATTTAACCTCCTCTCCCCCCTCTCCCCTGAAGTGCATTATCTGGGTCTGGCAGAGTGCAGCTAGCAGAAAGCTCCAGAAGCCTCTTTGTTTTCTTCTCCCTGTCTCCTCCCTTTCTGTTGAACTCCCTGGGGCCAGTTCTTTTCTCTATTCTTGGAGAAAAGAGGAAACATAAGACATCAGTGCCCGTGAAAGTGGTGGTGACAACCAAACATTAGGGGTTTATTGAGCACTTAGATTTTAATTGGATTTTTTCTTTTGTGATGTCATTCATCATGGCCACTGTAAAAGACAGAAGTTAAACAACAACAAATAAAAGGTTGTAAGCTGCCTGAGGCATGTTTTTACTAATTTCAGTTTAATGTGGCTGTTCCATTAAGTTTAATCATCTGGTTCACTTTTAACGATTCACCATCAAGTAAAAATTATCCACTTCCCTCAGAAAGTCACATTTCACCTGTGGCTGGTAGGACTTTTTACTACTGTACCTGTCGTATTTTGTGCCAGCAGGGGCTTTTGGTCTCTGTTTCTCTGTTGCCTTTTTTTTTTTTTTAAAGAATGCAGCGCATTGGCAAATAAATACAGGAATTTGCAGTTATAGACATGGCCCTGTGGAGGAT